GTAAAACCTGTATATAACGGACAGTCACGGGACCAAAATCGTCCGTTATAGACAGGTGTCCGTTGTAGACAGGTTTTTCAATGTTTTAAAAATTAAAATTTTTACGTACATTTGTATTGTTTTATATTTTATAATATCAAATTCAAATATATACATATTAGGTATAATCTTTATTAATATTATACATATATGTATTAAACACATACATTCTACATTATGAATTTAATTTTAATTATTTATTACAACTGCAATTATAATTTATATATTACATTTATATGACACATTATAAATTTATTATATGTGCATACTATTATATTTGTATACATTTATAAATTATTTTATTTTATTTTTTTTGTTATTTTTAAATCCAAACTTATTAATAATATTTAATACGTAACATATATCACGTGAACAATTTAAACTCTTTGTTGCCAATGGCCATAGTTACCGAGGCTTATTTAAAATAATAAAAAAAAAAATTATTTTTTAAAAAATGATTCTATTGATATTTGTTTCTTTAACTTCGATTTGGTAATTTCCAACTCGTAATGAATAATTAATTCGCTCACAGATAAAAATCTTTTTTTCGTCGCCTTTATTTAAATAAAATTCTTTCAGACGAATAAGTTGTTCAAGAGCTTCTGAATAATTTGCAAACGCCTTAATTTCAGAATTTTCCGTGTTTTCACTGAATTACTTTATTCCGTTCTTTATCGACGCTGTTTCGTAATATGTATGTATGTATTTTTGTCCGTTATGAAATTGTTGGATTTAATATTAGTGTCTGTGTCCGTAATAGAAGGAGTCCGTTATAGACAGGTCGAAATACATTAAAATGCCTATCTTTTTGCCGGGACCTGGTCATTTTGTCCGTTAAGAGAATTGTCCGTTATAGACAGGTGTCCGTTTAGTCAGTTTTTACTGTAATATGTATTAAACAGATTGGATAGTTTATAGTTTATACATCATTTAACAGTAATTTGCTGCCGATACAAGTCCGTATGTTAGTGCGAAATACTTTATAGTGTTTTAATTTTATATAGTTCATTATATTTTTAAGTAGTGACTATGCCGCCTAAAAGACTTAGTCATTTTAACGAAAAATTGTAAAACGATTTCCCATTTATTAAAAATAACAATAATAAAAATAATTTGAAAAAATAAAAAAAAAACATTTTGAGTATATGAATGCTTATTTTAAGTACCAGTTATTTGTTTAAATATTGGTCTCATTTAATAATATAATAAATATAGCGAACTAGTAAATACATAATTCATTATTCAATTAAAATCACTTAAAACTTCTAGTACAAAAAATGGCCTCTTAGTTAAAATTGTGAAGTATTAGGCGTGTATTAAACTGCTAGCTTTCATAAACTGCATTTCTTTAGATACCTATCATAATCCATAGATATAAAGTATAAACGAAATATGTATCTTATATAGGTACAATAGATTGTTTTATAAAAAAAAAAAATATTCTTTCAAAAATAATGAATTTACTTTTAAACTTAGATTTAACATACATATCTTGATTACTCGCTAATTTTATATACCAAAAATTACTAAATGGTACACCAAATTTGTCTTTATATCAGTTTATGTTGATCCTTACGTATAAAAATTTTACACATTTCAAATATCTTTACATTTAATGCTTCTAAATACGTTACAAAATGACCAAATAGAAATAAAAAAATTTTCAATCTTAATCTAAAGCTAACCCTATTCACCACTCAGCATATATTACTATAATTGTTTACGGATGCAATTAACATATTTAAAATACTTGATAATTATGTTTGATGTCATGACTGGGACTTTGATGTTGTTATAATTAAACTAAAAACTTATATTATAATATTTGTAATAATATAAAAATGTATTTTGTATATTATTTGGTTTTTACTTATTACAGCAAAAAAAAATGTTATATAAATGTAGTTAAAAAATTTAATTTCTTTCACAAATTTAATGAATTCTATCAATGTTGTATAAATATTGTGTGACTTAAGTGTGATCAGTTATTCAAAAAAGAAAAAATTGATAATACAAACAATAATAAAATAAAGTTTTCAATAAATTCAGCCAATGTTATCTTGTTATAGTGCATATTTGCTCTAATTTGTATGTGTTTACAGATTTTAAGTCTCTAAGTGTAGCTATAACTTTTAGTCTTTAAACAATTTTAATTAATGTAAAAACATCCAAGTCAAAGTGATTATAATTTAATCTAATAAATTGTTTAATCTTAAATTTACTGATTCCATACCATATGACACCACTTGCAAAGATTTTAATATGGGTTTTCTTATATATAGAAAAATTACAAATTCAGCATTTTCCATTTTTTTTTAAAGCTGTAGGCATTGTTGTATGCCCCCCCCCCCACACCCTCTTCAGCATATATTTTCAAATCTTACTGGATTTGTATATTATGTTTCATTGACACACTACGATTATTAATAATTTATTTACTTACTCCTTTCCAAATAAGCGAGTTTTCTCAATCCAGTCAATCCATACAACCATCCAGAAACACAATAAAATACACTCAAATATTTTAAACAACTAAAACAAAAAAATTAATACATTCAATATTATTATTGAATTTTATTATTAAAAACTGAAAAGAGAATCTACGGTTTTTTTTTAGAGAATTAGTCTACAGTATTTTGTATACAAATTTTATTTGAAATATCTCTTTCTATGTGTATTAAAGAGAGATTTGTAAATCTCTCTTGGTGCATAAAAGTTCTAAGCCATGTTTTTATTCTTCTCATTGCCTTCTCATTTTAATGATAAGTTGAAAAACATTCTTTAAATTTTAAAAATGTCATACATTCTATCACACTATGTTTTAAATAATTAATAATATTTATTATGGAAATACATAGTTATTATATTTGTAATTAACTGTCACCATATGGGGGGCAAATCTCATTAATATATTTTGCAAAAGTTCCACATAATTTTCTGCACCACGATGGGATAGAAAATAAAAACCAAGAAATAACTCATTATTTTTGTATTTGTTTCTTTTTAAAATTTAATTGGGTATAACAAGAACAAGACTAACGTAGTCTTGTTTCGATATATCTTGAGTCGAGTCTAATATAACAGAAAACAAAACTACTTGAACTTATATTATTAAAAATGAAATGATGGAACCTAACCTAACCTAGAATAGGATCAAACTAGTAATTGAATAGTTGAAAAAAGTAATAGAATATTTTTTGAGTTTAACAAATATATTTTGTTACTGCTTAGTATATATTAACATATAAAAAAAAAAAAATAAGATTTTTGTTCTTATAATTTTCAACAATTTTCTCCTACTCAATCCGTACAAAATAAAAAATATAACTCAAAGTGCTAAGTCTTGTTTAAATGAAATTTACTTGTTCAAATTTATCATAAATAATGGTTGAATAATAGTGGTCCTAGTTGGAATAAAAATGTAAAATACAATTTACAGAAATTTATGCAGAGTTATAATAATTTATGATGTAGAGTAGTACATTTTACACACATCTGAACGTATATTTTATCATACATTTTGATAGAAAACATCTCATTCAAATAGTATTAGCATAAGTTTTTCGGCATTACCAAAACGATAGATATTTAACATAAAATTAATTGATAAAAATGAATACTTAAGTTAAAAATATAATGCTGCAACACTACCAAAGTGATTTTAAATATTGTTAAAACAACAATACAATAATAGTTTTATATTAATTAATTAATAAGAGACAGTATATAGAGGTAAAATTATAAGAATATTTTTGTCCCAAGTTGGCCCTTTTGAAAGTATTTTACATTTAGTCACTTAGTTTTTAGATTACATTTTTAACTTCTCTATTTCTATATGAGTTTAAATTGTTAACATTCTACAAATATTTTAATTATATTAAAATATTAAGACAATTACTGTTATTCTGGTGTAAACTAATTTTTCTGTGTTATTTTTTACAATTTATTCACTAGCAAAAAATCGAATTAATAATTATAATATGTCAATAAATATATGTATATCAGTATTATTGTCTAATCACGATGGTCATTGTTGAGGTAATAATTGTCAATGCAGACTTTTTGTTTCAATTATAAAAACAATTTTTTTATCAAACATTTCTTACAAAAAAAGAACCTCATATGAATTTATCCATCATAGAGTCTGCTCAAACGACCATTAGATGCAATATGATAGATTTATAGTAGGTACGTAAATACGTAAATACAGGAAATGCGTATAACTCCAATATAAGTTAAAACTTAAAACCTACACGAAAATTAGGTGGCTGTAGGCACAGCTGTCAGCCACAGAACATAACATTTCCGCGATCGTCTTATCGTAGATTGGTGAATAGTCACTATTCATTACTACATTCACCTATAAGTTAGGTAGTTCCCGACACGACGGATTAAAATAATAATCTTTCTCGGCTCATAATGATTAATTATGTGATGTGTAATGTACATACGCATTATGCACCTTGCAGTCCGTACACCCGCGGTCCATTAAAATCTTGAGGTTAGGCAAAAATACTGATGGTTTTCGCTCTCCGTAATTTCTAAAAAAACGTTGACGTAGGTATTTGTTAACTTTAAAATAGAGACGTTTTTCGGTGGGCCCACTACGAATCACTGTAAAATAAACTGACGTTTGCACAGCTAGGATAATAGGACAAGTCACAATATTGAACAGGTATCGCTTTTTACTATCGCGTCATAACTCATAAGTAAAACGTCATATTCGATAACCGTCGCGTGACGGCTGGAGATGCATGGCGCATCACTCATTTACTCGTATCCGCTGGAGGCGCTGGAGCCGATTCGGGGAAATTTATAGTGGATCACAATATCGGCTGCACGCCAACACAGTGCAGCCCATGTTAGCACCGCCGTTTACCACCTCGCCCGCCTCGTCCGCTACACGCTCCTCGCCAGCGCATAATTTTCTGCCCCACCATTGTACCTCATGACCGTAGTTGTAACATTACCCGTATTCTTTAGTTCAACCGTTTGCCGCTCGAAGCCGGTAGAGTCGTTACGAAACACGTGTCCCGCGCCCAGTTCGGCTGTAAGGCTATACCCCTGACGGTGTCCCGGCGTCAACAGTTTAAAGCGTGTCTTGAAGTTCAACGCCGAGCTTCCACTGCGATTGTTTGAAAGGCAGTGCACCGTACGTCGTTCATTACTGCGTCGCGTCGTCCGCAGCGGAGTAATATTGCAGTACTAGGTATATAATGCTTACACATCTTGTCTATGATTACAGTAATTGGAAATTGAAATCAGCTACCGTAAGAGCAACACTGTACTATTGTCTTTCGTCGTCACTGGATCCGTTAGATATGGCTAATTTCTCGAAAATTGAATCGAACAACTCTCCTCTACAACGCAAGTCATGCAGTGCGTCGAATTGCTGTTGTCCTTTTCAAGAAAAAAGGAACTTCCAACTAGACTCGTAAGTACTTAATTAATAATAATCATATTAATAATAATAGTAGTTGCAAGGTTTGAAATCAAAATGAATAATTTTGATTTTAACTTCAATTTCATTTATCAATGTTTGTTTTTTTCTGATTAAAATTGAAAATAGTTTATTGATTTTTTATTTTTTTACCTTATGGCTTATATATTGGCACATTCATATATTGTCCAATACTTAAAGTCCTTAAACATGATTTAGTGCCCATGATTATTCCATTAATTGTATAGAACCGTTAAATTAATATATTTTTCTTGTAACCTGGTATTTATGTGCCACTTTTTAAAGTCTTATTCTACAGATCCAAATATCAAATTAAAGCATCTATCACATATTGTATGTCATGTAGTAGATCAAATTTAAGTTTTTTATAACATCTATTCTGACATGAATATTCTATTCCGTTAATTGAAGGGTCAGTTGGAAAAACGTGCTATGAAGTGATTCATAAATTGTTCAGTAACAACTGATAAACAAAAAATGTACTATACATTTTTAAAATGTTATTTGGAACACATTTAACACATTCTTATTATTCTATTATTCTATTATTTTTTATTTTTTCCTACAACTACCATTATTTTATTATGTTGTGTAAATATTCATTTATAAATTAAAATTATTTCATAAATACTAATATTAATAAAACTTGGTATTCTATTACTTTTTAAAAATCACATTATTATTTTTACGTATTTCACTATAGTTTACTGAAGTCACTGTATTGTCTAGGCATATACTTGCACATGTCTAAAAGATCTTTTTTCTTTTCTTTTATTAAGGCCACTTTAGATTAATTTTCAATAGATAAAGTATTATCTTTTAAGTTGTTTGACGTATTTATACATGTGATGTCCATGGTCTCAGTGTATTGTGACTTTCAGGCATAGGAGCATCTAAGGGCCGATTTCACCAACACAGTTAATCACGATTAAAATTAACCACCGAATTTGGCCGGTTAAATATCTATTATCAGCCGATTAAGCGTTAACCGTGATTAACTGTGTTGGTGAAATCGGCCCTAAACCATTTTGTTTGTGTTGTTATCAGTTTTGTAATATCTTGCCCTATTGCAGACAAATCTTCAACACTATTTTGAAACATTTCTATAATACTAAATGGTTTTTCTAATCTTGCATTAGCTATAACATATTTCCATTGTGACAGTACTAGTGCTTTTGCTGTTTTTTTTTTGTTTTTCAATTTGATTAATTTCTATAAAATACTTGCTAAATATCAGATAAAATTACATGTTGAATGTCTGCCAGTTATTATTTTTAAGGGTTTAGTGAGATGAGGCCAGAGTCAAAAATTGTTACTTTTCAGGAAAGGAATAAACTCATTTTTTTTTCTATTTTATTGATATTATTTTTACCACATATTTATACTTGAATACCTTATTATTATTTAGTAAGATTTGTACAATTACTTTTAATATTTAAGCAAAATTTAATAATTTTAATTGACTTGATACTTTTGACACTAAAATAATTATTTTACTTTTGACTTGTGACCTTTTGCTCAATTAAGTTTATCTATTTTAAAATAAGACAGTAAATTATTAATATTGCAATGTATTCAATATATAATAATGTTTACTTGAATTATATTATATTAAGCATTTAAAATATTCAGGATATTATTTTACAATAAAAATCTATGTTCTAATTATTAGGAAAATAAACAATAATAATGAAATGTTTGCAATAAATCATGTATTTTGTACAATTTTCATATTTTTATTTAGGTATCATTTTATTATACATGATCATAAACTTTAAAGAATTTGTACAAACTAAAATAAAAATTATTGATAAATTTACTGATCTAAGTACGTACATAATGGAACAATACAAAATTTTGACTTAAAATGTTAATGTTTCAGTGTATAAAATTGTTAACATGTTATGAAAAACAACTTGAATTCAACAAATTTAAAATTCAAATAATAAATATTATCAATATTTTTTTTAATTCTTATGACATAAAAACCTTTAAATGAAGTTGTTCCTAACAATATAAATAGATATATATTATTAATATACAAAATATAATATATATAATATTACTTTTTAGTTTAAATAACTCGTTTTGACATGCAATTTATGAATTCTACTGAAAACGTATTATTTTTGTAATTTTATATTTTTTATAAAATTAATTGTCTTTAATATTTTGTTCAAACAGTTAGAAGTATAGAAATTTATTAGAAATAAAAACAGAAATCAACATTTTTTTAGGATTTAAAATTTAAAAAACATTATAATAAACATTACAAGTAATAATATGCAAATTAAAATTAAAATCAATTTATAAATTTAATATTAAAATAGCAGTTTTGTTATAAGTCATAAACTTTATTGTGTGGAATCTTAAAATATGTTATTATAAGTTAGTACATAAAAAAATAATAAAATAAAATAAATGAATTACATTCTCATTATAGGTATAAAGAAACTCCTTCATTTTTGTTTGTAGATAATTCATTTGACTGAAATATATTATGATAAAATTCTTTGGCATTATCATGAACATGTTTTTGTTTGTGGGTTTGACATGGTTCAACTTGAGAAATTTTTCTTTATTATTTATAAAATCATAAGTATAGAATAAGTCTTGATTTACTATATAGACTTGAGCAAAATTTGGAAAAACAAAGAGTCAGTGAGGAAATTACATTTTACTTTTAACTCAAACATTTCTCAACTCTACCAAATACTTTGTGGGGGGTGTATAACTATTTATTTAATTCAAATGTCTATTACAATAATATACATATACATATATATAATTAATGATTTAATAAATTACATAGTTCAAGTGCTTTATATTATTATTTTATTTGTATTCAGGCAAAATTCACACTAATGCATAAGCTTTAAGTTACATGATTATTTGTTTTCGTATCAACTCAAAGTCAAAATTTAACCTATGCTATAGTGTTGTATACAATATTACATATTTCCCTTATATTGTATAAACTTAATGTCATAAAAAATGAAATAATTATATAATATTATGTATAGGTACTATGATATTATTATTGTACTATATTACATATGGCATATGGCATTTATACATATATTATTTTTTCCAAGCAGCGGATCATGGGAAATACTACTATGCTACGCATGTGGTATTAATGGAACACATAGGTTTTGCATTATTGCTCCATGTCCCGAAAATTGGCGCTGTGAAATATGCAATATCTTTGAAGGTATGATTTATTATTATTGCTTTTTTTTTTATTGGGATATCATAAAACACTGTTTCTCAATCTTTTTGTTATTTTGACCCATCAATTTTCTTTTCTGTGGAAGTGAGCTTTTACCAAAAATAATAATAAAAAAGAATATAAAGTACCCATGGNTTATTTTTAAATTCAAATTCGGTTTGTAGTTTTTAATGTTATTAGTTTACGACATCGGCCCATCAAAAATATTTTGCGACCCAATATAGACTGCTTTATGATGGTTTCACTTAAAATCAATAATCAAATAATTAATAACACATGTTTAATAAATCCACGACAAAAAGTTAGGGAATATCCGAATTTAATAAACATTCATAATAATTATAGTTTTTTGGTGATTTATTTTGTTAGATAAGCTAGTCATGTTTAAAGAAATGTTGAAGTCTGCAACCAGAAACATCAACTTACAACGCGTGGATACCTCTTTACAGATTGAAACTCGTAGGTGCAATGTTGAAAAGTGTTTGTGTCCTCATAGAGAGCAACAAACACATCAAGATGAGATGTAAGTATTTGTTTTTAGTAATAATAATTATTATTTTACACCTCATAGTCGAACAGTACTATGTGATATATATATATATATGTATAAGTATGTCGGAGTTTGCGTTAAGGGGCAGTTGTACTTATTTAATCAGTATGTTCCTAGCTTATGTGAAATTTACATTAATGTAACTTTAAATTCAAATTAATATTTTGTTTTGTGTATACTGTTTAAGAGTGTGCCAAATTTTTTCATCTCCATACCTTAAAATATGATTTGCAGTTTTAAGAATTTGTATTTTTGAATTGCAGCAAACATTAATGCCAGCCAGCCCATTCTTCTTTCTTAACGACCTATAAATAATTTATTTTTAACTTGCATATTATTATAAATTTATAGAATACATGTACATAGATTTATAAATAATTTATTACCATTTATTTATTATGTGCTACCAATATTTTATTTTGATAAGGTGGTTTAGAGATTTATTTTTACTAAAATAATATGTATCACTTGAGATCAGTTAATGAAAGAACAAGTTCTCATGAGTTTTGTTTTAATTTAGTTAAAAGTTATTTCTTAGGCATGAGATTTTATTTATATGATGGTCTATTTTTAAAACAACTTACAGTCAAATTTAACCTTTGTTGACATGTTGTTTGCAATATTAAAATTTTCCCTTTCATTAAATAATACTTTAATAGCACTTATTAATGTTGTACAAAATGCCATAATTTTTTTATATTTTTAAGCTTCGGCAACTGTGGCCATTAGCTGTAGGTTGTGGTACTGTAGGGTTTTGAGACTGTAGGGTTATGGAACACGCGTGTATTTGTTTGGCAGAATTTCTAATAGGTACCCGTAGGTTTCTGCCATGCCCGGCTTGGGGATGGCCTTTCTCTCCAAACACCGTGACTGTCCGTTACCGAGGTTTGAACCGCCGACGGTGTTCGTTGCAACCGACACGTTAACCACTTGTCCTCTTCGTCCCCCAAATGCCATAATTATATAATATGTATCTTTATAATAATATTATGTTATTAATATGCTCTAAATTAAGTGGCGTTTATATTTTTTTTGTTTTCTAAACAGTGGATTATTGGAAACACTTCTATGTCAAGGATGTGGTTTTAATGAAACACATAGGATTTGCAGTTTTGTTGAATGTTTCCAAAATTGGCGCTGTGTAAGATGCAATGTCTTTGAAGGTATGATTTGTTATTAATGCTTTACTTTTATATTCAATTTCTTATGACAGTATTTCTCAATCTATTTGTTATTTTGACCCATCAATTTTCTTTTCTGTGGAAGTTAGCTTTTACCTAAAATAATAATAAAAAAGAATATAAAGTACCCATATGATACCTAGTAATATTAATAATAATTTTGTTTTAATAATATAATACAATATTAATAGGCAATAAATACTTAATTCTGTTGAATACATAGATTATTTTTAAATTCAAACTAGGTTTGTAGTTTTTAATGTTATTGGTTTACGACATCGGCCTATCAAAAATATTTTGCGACCTAATATAGACTGCTTTATGATGGTTTCTCTTAAAATCAATAATTAAATAATTGATTACACATGTTTAATAAATCCACGACAAAAAGTTAGGGAATATCCGAATTTAATAAACATTCATAATAATTATAGTTTTTTGGTGATTTATTTTGTTAGATAAGCTAGTCATGTTTAAAGAAATGTTGAAGTCTGTAACCAGAAACATCAACTTACAACGCATGGATACCTCTTTAAAGATTGAAACTCGTAGTTGCAATGTTGAAAAGTGTTTGTGTCCTCATAAAGAGCAACAAACACATCAAGAGGAGATGTAAGTATTTGTTTTTAGTAATAATAATTATTATTTTACACCTCATAGTCAAACAGTACTATATGTAATATATATATGTGTAAGTATGTCGGAGTTTGCGTTAAAAGGCAGTTGTACATATTTAATCAGTATGTTCCTAACTTATGTGAAATTGACATTAATGTTGTACAAAATTCCATAATTATATAATATGTATCTTTATAATGATATTATGTTATTATTATGCTATAAATTAAGTGGCGTTTATATTTTTTTTTGTTTTCTAAACAGTGGATCATGGGAAATACTACTATGTCAAGGATGTGGTATTAATGGAACACATAGGATTTGCAGTTTTCTTCCATGTTTCCAATATTGGCGCTGTGAAACATGCAATACCTTTGAAGGTATGATTTATTATTATTGCTTTATTTTTATATTTAATATCTTATGACAGTGTTTCTCAATCTTTTTGTTATTTTGATCCATCAATTTTCTTTTCTGTGGAGGTGAGCTTCTACTAAAAAAAAAAAAATAAAATATAAATAAAATATAAAGTACCTACAGGATTGTAATATTAATACTAATTTTGTTTTTATTATGTAACGTAATATTAATTAGGCAATAAATACTTAATTCTGTTGAATACATAAATTATTTTTAAATTCAAATTCGGTTTGTAGTTTTTAATGCTATTGGTTTACGACATCGGCCCATCAAAAATATTTTACGACCTAATATAGACTGCCTTATGACTGTCTCTCTTAAAATCAATAATCAAATAATTGATTACACATGTTTAATAAATCCACGAGAAAAAGTTAGGGAATATCCGAATTTAATAAATATTTAATAATAATTATAGTTTTTTGGTGATTTATTTTGTTAGATATGGTATTCAAGTTTAGAGAAACGTTGAATGCTGCAAACAGAAACATGAGCATACGGTACGTGGATACCTCTTTAAAGATTGAAAGTCGTAGTTGCAATGTTGAAAAGTGTTTGTGCCCTCATAAAGATCGACAAACACATCAAGAGGAGATGTAAGTATTTGTTTTTAGTAATAACAATAATTATTTTACACCTCATAGTCGAACAGTACTATGTGTAATATATATATATATATGTATAAGTATGTCGGAGTTTGCGTTAAGGGGCAGTTGTACATATTTAATCAGTATTTTCCTAACTTATGTGAAATTGACATTAATGTTGTACAAAATGCCTTAATTTTTTTATTTTTTTTGCTTGGCAACTGAGGCCATTAGCTGTAGGTTGTGGTACTGTAGGGTTTTGGGACTGTAGGGTTGTGGAACATGTGCATATTTGTTTGGCAGAATTTCTAGTGGGTATCCGTAGATTTCTGCCATGCCCGGGTGGAGACACTGTGACTGCCCGGACAGAAGTGCTGCCCGTGACCGAGGTTCAAACCGGCAACGGTGCACGTCGCAACTGACACGTTATCCACTCGGCTACTTCGTCCCCTAATGCCATAATTATATAATATGTATCTTTATAATGATAGTATGTTATTATTATGCTATAAATTAAGTGACATTCATATTTTATTTTGTTTTTTAAACAGTGGATCATGGGAAATACTACTATGCGATGCATGTGGTATTAATGGAACACATAGGATTTGCAGTTTTGTTAAATGTTTCAAAGCATGGTATTGTAAAGCATGTCAACCCAATATTTTGTAATAACTAATTATATTATTTTAAATTTTTATAATAGTAAATTTAACAGTGTACACGTAATTATTTTAAATGTTTTCAGCCAATTTCAGGCATGTATTATTGATATGTATTTTATTTTTATTTACATATTGTGAATTCACTATATCACCTTTAAACAATAATTCATTTGTTTTTGTTCATCCATCACATTGTTAATTAGATTTGTTGAGAATTCAAGTTATATAATATGTTTCTTATATATTTTGATTGAATTCTCATTTTCATATGTTAATTGAATATTTTCTGACACACATTTTATTCCCATTATTAGTATTAAATTTGTAACTATGTATTAAGGTTTAATGATTATAGAATAATAATTTTAAAAAATATAATAATTACTCAAATACAACTAACATAATATGTTATGCTGTTGTTTATATACTTTGAATGTATTAATTTTGCTTTTTTTTTATTGAATATTGTGTGACTAAAGTTTTGTGTTTACTATTATATTTTAAATTATGTGTGATTCTTGAAGAAAAAATATAATACTTAAATGTTACTCATTGAACATAACATTGTTATATTTTGTATTTCACTGTAATATATGATGAATTGCATTTGTATGAAAAATAACATTCTTAATTTCTTCTACCATTTATATAAATATGCTCAGTTTAAACAATCATAGAACTTATGAACAAATTATTGTACTGCTGAACCAATTTTGTATTGATAGCTAAAGTAGTACGACAAAAGAGAAACTTCTATATGATTACCTTTTATGCAACATTGAATTATTGAGGATTAATAATTGGGAATTGTAGAAAAAAATATATAAGAATGTAATTGAAGTGTGAGCGCACAGATATTAAATAAAGAAGAGCAATTGTATGAAATATAAAGAATTAAAGGATTCTTGAAGCGAATTTATTTTTGAAGGGAAAAATATTAATTTAAGACTAGTCTAGAATAAGTTAAATATTACATCATGTATCAAGCGTTGCAATATTAAATCAAATACACCTCATCCTATTCCTCTCAAAGACACATGTAGTCGCCTGACCACTACACTATACATAAACTGTTTGACCACAGATTAAGAGTGATACCGACTATTATGACAAAAATAAAAATGAAAAAGTATTAGAAAAAATATCTAAAAAAATAATTCATTTGATTTTCGATGCAATGGACCTTTTAAAATTAAAAAAAAAACTCTGATAGTACACATTCAGTAGAAGTTATAAAAAATAGACTGTTAGAAAATCCATGTAAACGCGTGATCCAAATTAAAAAGTCTAAAGAACAAATTACCTATACTTAATTATCTAATGAGTAAATTTATCATCAATTAAAAATGAAAAAAATTTTCCCAATGACTATAACATAATGTCGTAACGATATGATATGCTCACATATTGTTCGCATTATAACAAGTCATAAACTAAAACATAACAGATTAATATAAAATATGTCTGCCAGATTGTCATTGCGTAGAAATCGCGGGGGACGCGCCAATTAACCTTTTTTAAACCAATTGTTCGAACGCGTACAGTTTTTCCGCCGGTTTTGAACTTTGCAGCCAGGCCACCGGCTGCGCTTTCGGCGTCGAAGAGTCAGAGGACTTCTCCAGCTCGCCGTTCGTCAACCTACTTTGGCTGTCGCTGGGCCGTCCGTGTCGATTGTAGCGTTTGACGGGTGTCGCGACGGAAAGTCCCGCGACTTGCGCGTCGTCACATTTCCGTTTTCGCCGTATACCTCGTGGCTAAGCCGTCGCCATCGTCGTACGCAACTCCTGTCCCGTGTCTTTGTGATTTACCCCCTTTTGGGTGTCATGGACGCCGCGTGCCGGTGGACGCGTATCCGTTTGACCGCTTTCGTGCTGTAACGGCGCGCTCGTTGCCGTTAAAGCCGCGGCGACTGTCATTCACCGTTTCCGGTAGGCATGTCGAGCGTGCAGTTTGCGATTTTGTGTATTCCAACGGCGCCGACGTGGATTGCGGCTGTCGACCCGCGGCTGGATTAATGATTATCCGTGGACCGTGTTTCACCTCAAGACCGCTGTCGCCATTCCAGCAGTGGAATGTAATTTGCCTATCACGGAGACCGAGCGGTCGTGAGCGGAGTGATCGAGGCCGTCGTCAGGTTTTTCTTTTGTTTTTTTTAATCACCCAATTATATTTTCCTATTCGATAGCTGTCGTGTCTTACACGGAGCTGTCATTAGTGTTTTTTTTCTGTATTATCGTTTAATGTATTTGTCGTCATTACGACATTTTAGTGATTTGCTATGTTCCACTCACGGCTATAAACACTATGGTTGCCCATCGGAAATTTATTAGGCCGGGGCTATACACTATGTTTTCCGTCTAATTCAAAACGCATTGATTTATATCGGATTAGCTTTTCACGACGGATGTAACGCGCCGCGGCGAAAAACGCCCGTGGTCTTGCGTTTTGGGCGGACGAACCCCGAAGTAGTGAAAACGTGAAAACTCCCAATTTTACATTGTTTTAAATTAGGAAGGGCTGTACCTCGGAATTTCTGGTACATCTGATGGTAATAACTGTGGTAATACTGCAATATGTACATCAATTTTAGGGTTTATAATTGAGGGGGGACAATCCAAAACGTACTATTTCCATTTTTCACTTTTCTCAGTATTGATATATTTGTGTTATGAACTACTGAAATTACTTAGAGTTATAATAATCTTACCAAAAAATGTGTACAATTGTAATAAACATTTTTTTGTTGTGTCCTCTAAGTTATATTGTGATTAAATGTCCTAAATTTGACATCCAAATTTCATAATTGTGACAAAACATACCATTTCCATCCAATAGGTAGTTGATAATAATTTAAGGAAATAGTACATTTTGCTGTTTATTTTTTCAAAACGTACTATTCCCAGAATTAGTGCGTTTTGCTTAGGAGTGTATTATTCTGTATTATTTATTTTTCTATTTGGTCACATTTTTTTAAAAATTATCACAAATAAATAGTATTTTTTTAATTTTATTATAGTATATGAATATAACTAATGTATACTAGGTAAAATCCTCGGTAAAATCCTTTTGCAAAAATATATACATTAATATTACCTTAACATAAAGAAATAAATATTTTTATAATATGTAATATTCGAGGTAATATTATACTCCTTCAGTATAATAAAATGTATTGTGTTTATAGATATAACCAGGGCTCGTAAGTTCATGCATTTGCATGTTTTTTTTGCTACACAGAAAAATATGCTAACTGAGATACAAATCCGTTTCATAACAATAGTAATAATAATATGAAGTTTAATAATGCATGTTTTTGCATGTTTTGGGTGTAAAGGCATACGAGTATTTGACATAAAATCGTTTTTTTAGAGTTTATAGCGTATATTATTTCATAAAAAAATTGTTTGAAAAAATATTTGAAATGTTTCTTGTTTTTTATTTACTTTACCGTTTTCTGAATGATAGTGTTTTGATTTATTTTTAATTTTGTGTGACTACTTACTTTTCTAGTATTTCCCTATTTAGATTTTATGCGTTTTACTTAGTACCGCGGAAACAATTTTATAGCTACTACTATCATCCTCTTCCGTGTATAGTCCCTCGTCAAAACGATACCTGTACAAGCATGTACAACTGTACAATGTTTCTTACCAATCCGCATCTACAATTTTGTACACTGGTACAGTATAGTTTTCTTGCACACGCCAGTCGCCGATGAGTTATTTAACTGTACGAGTCGTGAAAATGTCAAATAACTAATATTTCATTCCAAATATTTTCATTGTAGGTGCAGGATAATGGTGTACAAAAATTAGACAAAAAATTACTACCTAATTAAAATTAATAAAGATGACAAATCCATATGATTATATGAACTTCACAAGTATTCATTTTATTAATTTTGATTGTTAAATATATAAAAATTAAAAAGGAATAAAATACTTTTAAAATGAATGGATATACTCTTATTATTTTAAAATTTGCTCATAAATATTTTACACAAAGCATATTTTGAGTGCATAATTTAAAAATGTAAGGGCATTTAAATTTTAAATGCATATTCTTGAACTTTTTAGTGCATGAATGCATGCTTATTTGTGCTTTTTTTAGTGCATGAACTTACGGGCCCTGGGTATAACATATAAAATAGACATAAATAGTATTTAATTATTGTTTTGTAATAATTTTTACCAAATTGTAATCAATATTATGGGACATAAGTCTTTATTTAGGAACAAAACTATGTCTAAAATAAATTATAAGACAAAACTTAAAGTTATAATTTATTAATTATAGATAGTAAATAAATTGCAATAGTCCATTATTTAAAACTCTTTCTAAAATAGGCAAAAAATGTACTTAATAAAACATATCAAATATTAAAACCTTTGAGACAAGACAATGAATGGAATTAAATGATATTTATATCATCATAAAAATGCTTGGCATCTTCTGGAATATTAAAAGAACATAAAAGTTTTCTTATATCATCTTGTTTAGTGATTTTAACATGATTTTTTTGTGGTAATAGTTCAAGGTTGTCAGACATTGATCTTATATGGCATTTTCTCTTTAACAGTTACAGTTTCTGGTAAACCACCATGGGTGTATGAAAATCTGATTGTTTCTTTACCTTTTATATGAGAATACTTTTTTTGTTCAGTTGATTTAAATTCTGTCTTTGTTTTGAGAAGAGTTTTGGCTGAATTGTTTAAATCATAGACTTTATAGTCTTTATTGTACTCTTTCACTGTACAAAATTTTTCAAATATTTCTATATACTGATTTAGTGACACTATATTTTCTTTTTTTTTTAACACTTGCTCAATTCCCCCAAAAACACGGTCAGAAGGTATATAGCTATGCCCTCTGACTAGAAATATATGATGTATTTGGGTAATAATTGATGCTTTACAATTTATATAATACAAAAGTGTTGCCATACTAAATTGATTTTTATTTTGGCCAGAACAAAAGTCAGAAAATAGATTAAGAGTAGTCTGTTGTATTTCATTTGCTTTTATTTGATTTACCAATAGGTCTAGAAAATCTATTAATGCTGAGCACACCTCATTAGGTCCTCTTCTACTATCCGATTCTTTCCAAGTATTTAAAATACAATTTTCTTTATCTTGATTATAGTCAGATATAACAAAAGTTAGATTGTAGATCCAAACTTGACGACTATAAAACACATCAGTTACAGATAGTTTGGGAATAGGTTGCGTTTGCATCATGTCAAATGAACAATTTATGGTTTCAGGTTCCGTTTTCTTAAGTAACTCAATAAAAAAACGCTTTGCTTTTGTTTTGTTAACTAATAGCTCTTATTCAAGGTTATGTTTTACTTCATGGTCAGTTTCAGCCCTTATTTTTATTTTTTGTTCAGTGTAAAAAGTACAAGTATACTGCCTTGGATGTTCAAAACTTAAATTAAATTTTGTGGTAAAAATATTTTGATATTTGGATAAAGATGCCGTTAGTTTACAATTGTTTAATCTTTTTCTTTGCCAATGAGTCCACAAGTATTTATTAGACAGTTCAGAGTGTAAATAGCTCTTTCCAGAATCTCTTCTAGTATGGTGACTTTTCCTGCATTTGAATGACTGAATGTGTTTTTGTATTGATTCAGATATTTCATCATGCACTGGGTTAATACGATGACTCCCTCTTTTTTCCACTGGACTAGAGTGATTTGACAAAAATGTTTTGTTTAATATGTTCTAATAAATGTTGTTTAATATATTTCTTCTAGAAACTGATGTAATAGAGCAAAAAACGTCAGCACAAACTTTCAACATATTGCTATTAGTAGTAGTTGGAAAAAAATATTTGGTTACTATTCGAGTAGAGTTAGTGGTTTTCTTACCATCTAATCTTTTAGGAACTGACACACTCATCATAGTAAGTAAACATTTAGCTTGATCAATTTTACTAAAGATTTTACACAAATTTGTTTTGAAAGAAATTATATTTGGTTCTGTTAGCTCAGCTACTCTACTAACTGAGGAATTACTCTTGCCAGCGTGGCTGCATTTAATTTCCCAAGTAAATGGCAATGTATTTTTTTAAATTTTCTTTTGGTTTTTTTTATTAATTAACTTTCTTTTTCTTCCTCCTTGAATTTCTAAAATCGGATCATTGTATTCAGGATTTAAGTTCACGGATGAATCAGATAACGATTCTATCATAGGAAGGTAATCAGGTTGTGTTAAATAATTCTAATATATGAGGTATGTTTATTATTATAGGACTGCTTGATTGGTTCAGATTGTTGAAATTTAATTGCTGAACATCTGAATTTATAACTATTTTACATAATCCTATATCGACATCAGTCTGAAAGTAGATGATAATAAAATGTAGCAATTTATATAGACAATTTAGAAGAAAAATTAAATAATAATTTGATTTAATGAGTATAGTAAAATATTGAAAAGGTTCAACATTTTATTAAAACCGATAGTTCTCTTAAGATATGAGACTAAGTTGAATAGTGAGAAAAAATTAAAAACTAATTAGAAAAAATGTACTGTTCCAAACCTAAAAACACTAATTTTTAAATTATAATAACATAAATTAAAAACATTTGAAGTAAAGTTATGACATTTAGGTTTTGGAACGATATTATATTGCTTAAGGTACAAAATATTTTATTTTACAAGTTTTAACATCTTAGATAGATATAATAATATTTAACATACCAGTCTGGCTTTTAAATATTTTTAAAATGTTATTGATTTTTAAATAATAGTGGCCATCTATAAGTACCTACAATATTATTATTAGGTACTATTAAGTACCTATACAAATGTACAATACCTACATTATTGACTAAAACAAAATATGTATGAGTATCTATCAGTTATTAATATTACTGCTTAGAAAATATGTGTTTCATTAAGTACCTTTTCTTCATGACTACTGATACACCCATACTCGTAAAAATCAAATACACTGTCTGATATATTTAATGTTGATTCACTTGAACTCAACATATCCTGTACACAATTAACAGAGTAATGTTTTATGTAATTTATTTTTGATAGTAATATTAGATTATAAAATAATAAAAGCATTTTAAGCTGAAACTTACATCATCTTGGAATAATTGTTGCTTAGAACATATTTTAATGTATTTTATCCATTTTAATTTTATTAATCAATCACTATATTTACACAATTTATTCAAAGTAATAGTAAAATCTAACATTGAATTATAACATTCACATACTTTGTTAATAGACTTGAATTTGAATAATGATTTTATTTTTCATTAGGATTTTATGGTGACTTGTGGGATAATAGACAAGACTGTAGTTTTGGCACAATTTGTTATTAATCATAATGGAGGTAGAAACTTAATTATTTTATTATCAGCTGATAAAATATACAAGCAATTGAAAATCAGTAATTTGCACAATATTTATTTATAATTTAATTTAGCAATAATATAACTAAAAATGTGTTGTATAAAAATTTAAGACCAATGGAAATAGTACGTTATGCATTTAATTCAATTCCATTCCCTATGTTAATACTATGGGAAATAGTGCAATATGACTTACTTCGGAAATAGTATGTTTTGTAAAGGGGAGTAAACCACTAATGGAAGTAGGTGTACACATATTAGGAAATACTTTGGAAGTATTAGGAAGTACACGGAAGTCCGTGGAAGTACTCGGAAGTACGTGGAAGTACTCGGAAGTACGTGGAAGTACTCGGAAGTACTCGGAAGTACGTGGAAGTACTCGGAAGTACTTGGAGGTACGTGGAAGTACTCGGAAGTACTGATATTAAACAATTATTATTTAATTAAATAAATATGGTTAAACTTGGCTATAAATAAATATGGTTGGGTTTGGCTTAGAATTATTTGCTTAGTCGTCTCTAGTCCGACTGAAGTCGTGTCCGTTGTATATACACTGATGTCTACACCGAGGTATACACCACATAAGTTAATTTTTCTACAGTTTTTCAAATTATTTTATGTCAATTGGTAAGTTGTAAAGATTTATTTACTCAATGTTAGGTTTTAAATAAAATATAATAACTATAATATGTCAGTAGAATATATAATTATATTATAAATATGTAATAGGTAGATTTCAGAATTTAGATAGGTAAGTTATATAGTAATGGAATTTCGATTTAGTATAATTAAAATAAATTTTAAAACAGTATGATACAATAATCAACACTACATATTATTACCTTATTATTATCTAGAATAATTCAAAATAAGTTAAAAAATTGAAATAAAGACTATGATTTGAAACTAATAAAAAATACATGTTTAATAATTTTGCGAGATCTGTTTTCAGCACTTTTTGGCTGTTTTTGTTTATAAATATGCACATTGCTTTATTATAATTTGTGGTGACTGGCTATCCTATACTGTATGGTTTTATTTCAAACAAATGTATTCATTTTCCAGATATTTATAAAAATAATTAGTGATGGGGACATACATTGAAATAAATATTACGCAAATAATCAATTTTTAGTTTTTACTCTTGAACTCGAAATATTTCAAATTGTCGTTCCTGACATTAAATTTTATATTTAATAGCTTGAGTACTATTATCAGCCCTTTATTACCATACTTACTCATTATAAATGATGAAATTTATTAAATAAATGTAGTTTAATTTATTTAGTATTTAAGTTTTTTAGTTATTTAAAGACATTTGTAATTTTCAATCTTTTTAGTTTTTTTTTTATAAATTACAATCAAATTTTATCGGTTGTATAGAAAAGCACCTAATATATTGTTACAACAGTAGTTAAAAAATATTTTAAAAATACATTTTTTTTGTAGTCATATTTTTTTTACGCTGTGTCTAGAGCACCGGGCGCCCGGTTCGATATTGGAGCGCCGGGCGCCCGGATAGATAATGGAGCACCGGGCGCCCGGTAACACTGTAGAGTACCGGGTCACACTGTAATTATAAAAATATGATAATAATATTATAATCTTTTATTATATACTTGTCTATGATAATAAATTAATAAATAATAATATAGTGAGTTATTAATGTTATTATTTAATAGTTAATACTTTAATACTTTAATAGTTACTTAATATTTATTCTTTTTATAATAGTATAATAAATCACAAAAATACAGAATTTATCCGAATACCAACAGTCATTATTTAAAAACAAAATCTTCTTTGTTGTATCTTTCATTTTCCTTGAGAAACTGCGCTTTAGGCTTCATTTTATTTGGATTTATTTCTTCGGATTTGCAGTATGTTAATTCTTGAAATATCAGTTTCACATCATCCCTTTCTTTGGGAGTTATATTTCTTTTTTCACATGTTATTTCCCGATTGAAGGTCCGTAATGTGTGAAATAAGCATATTGTTAATGAAGAATTTGGAAATACTTGCCTTATTACCTTTCTCTCCTTCATATCTTTGTCGGTTACATATACGCGAGTTTGAATTGATATTGGGTTGTTCTTTTTGAATGTTTCAAAAAACCAACGCAAAGTTGACTCTTCCTCATTTACCAACAGTCCAATCGCTGCAATTTCACTGTTCCCGTTGCCATCCTCAGTCATTAAAACATAAACGGGAAGCCTCAGATCAAGTAATTTGTACGTGGCATCTGCAAAAACTACCTGTACAAAAAAAAATTAAAAAAAGTATTTTTATAATTTGTTACTTTTATATAATATAATTTACCTCTGGAAATGAACTGAATGATTCTACCATAATCATATCTTGAATAAAAATACCGTTTAAATTATTGTCTTCGTCTATTGATACCTCTACAGTACAGTTGAATTTCCTCTTTAATTTAGTTACAACTTCGGTTAAATCATTTTTTGAACAATGATTTCCTACAAAAAAAACTAGAAATATCAAAAGCACTAAACTAAAATATTATTTTTCTTACCAGCTGTGGTACGGATGTTGGATAAATCCTTAAGTGTAACTATTTTACCGCTTTCTTTCATGATTTTATCTTGTATAAGTTTTTTGTTCGCCTTCATATCCATCAACTCTATAACTATGGCCTTGTTTTCCGGTGTGATCTTTCTCTGATTGGGAAGATGGCTGTACAATATTTTTGATATCTCGTGGTTATGAGTCTCGTTCATTTTAGTTATTTCTAACTGTTGTCCATTTGCTGAAGCTTTTAAATAAATAAAAGCTTCACAACATTGGCGCATTGTACTTAAACATTTGAATATAAATTTATTTATATATTTTATATATTGTAACTAGGTAATATAAAATGAAATATGTATAAATATGTATAAACTATAAGTGTACTTACGAGGTGACACGTTGGTCTAAAGTATTTTTTTTTTTTTTGTGGCATCCTCCATGCACACAACAATATTTAATATAGTAATATTTAATTTTGGTTGATGCTGTTACCATTTTCCCATTTGGGAATTTAGCATTGATTGATGCCAGGGTCTTGCAGTCTTTGATATAATAGTCGACATAATTTTTGTCTTTGTAGTGACTTAAAACTCTTTCAAATTCATCGAATGAAGAAAAAACATCAAAAACTTTCATATTTGGAAAAAACTTTAAACTTCGAAAAAAACAAAACTGAAAACTATATTATATACTGTGCTGTGCTGTACTGTACTGTACTGTACTACACTCATGAGGTTGAAGGGAAAGATACCTATAAAGATTAGTAAGGCCAAATAAACGATTAAGGTTTTCCTAATAAAATAACTATTATTATATATTTAAATTAGACGCCAATATTCAAATGCAGCGGGTAATTTACAGTGTGACCCGGTACTCTACAGTGTTACCGGGCGCCCGGTGCTCCATTATCTATCCGGGCGCCCGGCGCTCCAATATCGAACCGGGCGCCCGGCGCTCCAATATCGAACCGGGCGCCCGGTGCTCTAGACACAGCGTTTTTTTTAATAAGCATTGAAAGTTCAAATTTTGACAAAATAAGTAAAAAATCACGAAAATTTGCAATTTATTTTGAGTTAGAAATTCATAAAAATTTATCATTTTAAATCTATGATTTGAAATTTCAACACAAGATTCTTCATGAATTTCTTTAAGTTTATCAAATAAAAAAAGGGTACCGGAAAGTTAAATTATATATTTTATGAGCATTTGAATTACAACATTGGATATTCAATCAATTTCTCTTGTACTAAACTTCTTATTTTGTTGTTTTTCTAAAACGAGTAATTCTAGAAATTTGACATTTACACCATATATTTATTTTATTCAATACAATTTTCAAAATATTTTAACAATTTTTAAGCTGTTTATAGACAAAAAAAAAAATCCGAAGACCAAACAAACAGTTGTTTTTATAGTTAATTTAAGTTCAAATTTGGATGAAATTACATATTAAATTACCAAGAAAAACAATTTTAGTTTTATTGTTACAATTTTAAAAATATTATTCGTGGGGACTTGAAATTACTAGAGTATACTTGGTATTCTAATTTTAATAGTTAGTGTTGTAAATTTTAATAGTGAATTGTGTAGGTATACTATGAATGACAGAGTAGTCGAGTACATAATGAATCTGATTTAATTAATTTCAAATTTATTTTATAGGTAGGTACCCACATTTTTTTTTTTTTGTAGTTATAGCACAAGTATGTACTTGTTAATATTTAAAGAACTACATTTTATTCATTTTAATATAAGTGTTAAATCTGTACTTACTTAAAACTTGCATTTAACACTAATAAACTTATTTGTTCAAACCTGATAAAAATACATTTTGCTTAACTATACTTGAACATTGGTTTAATGTATTTTTAGTATAGTAGTACTTGTATACTAATATTCTTTGGCTTTTTGCCCTTTCAAGTATAATACATTTTTAATTACATAATATATGAAATCTAAAGAGTTTTTTGGATTATCTGATGTGAAATTATAGATACTTCAAACAGTTACTTAAGCTTCTAATAAATTAAATTGTACCAAAATATTTTAACATGTTATGTATAACATGTTGAAAGTATTTAGAAAAGTAATTATAGGTAAATTAAAATATTTAGAAATATACATAGAAGTATTAGAAAGTAATGTATGGAAATACTTGGAATTATATGGAAGTACTTGGAAGTATACGGAAATACATGGAAGTACTTGGAAGTACTTGGAAGTACTTGGAAGTATACGGAAATACATGGAAGTACACATGGTTGGAAGTCTGGTGTACAAAAAATTGACTAGTGGTTTACCCCCCTTTTTGTAAGCATTTAAGGAATTGGTACATTTGAGTCATTTTAGCTAATGCAAACATAATTTAACACGTCAAATACTACGTTTTGACATAATTTGGAAATAGTTCACTTTTGTTTCATTATTGCTATTGGAAATAGTGCGTTTTGGAGTCATTGACAAACTTCAGATTGATATTAACAAAAGAAATAGTACGTTTAGTCAACATTTGAAGTTTCAACTCAATTTTGGATTGTCGCCCTTCAATTATTGTATATTTAAATTCATAGGCGGAGCTTGATACATTTAGTTGGGGGGGGGGGTGCTCAAGCATCAAGCCCCAGATTATTTTCTGAAAAAATTCAGGAATAACTATCAATGTAGTTTGAAATAATCTTAATATATCTTAATACTAAAATGAGCAAATGTCAAACATACTAAAATATATTAACGTATTGTATACTTTATTACTATCACAATATCAATAAAAATTCAAAAATTAAATAAAAAATTAATACAGAAGAAATTCAACAACTTCAACTGTTGTCTTAAATAATATTAGAAATTATGTTTTTGATGTTTGGACTGTAGTAAAAACTGAAAATGACATGTTAACATAAATGTAATGTTTTCTTAAACTATAATTTAAGTGTCTTTAACTTCTTGTACTGAAATAATAAAATAATAAATTTGAAAAAAAAAATATTAAGTCACCTAGGAACAATAAATTATGTTAGTGTTAAACCGTTAAAGTGTTAACTGAATTCTACTTGAACCACATTTGACAAATCCTTCTGGATTTCGTTTTGATTCAATTTATGTCTGATTACCTAATTCATTTTCTATATGTATTATTGAAAAATTACTGAATCGATTTTGAATCATAGTAGGTAGTTCTTAGCCAATTTTTAATCCTTCTCATTGCTAAGAAGGACTGCGAGCATGAAGCTGAGCTTCAGGTATACTTAGTGCCACTTGTAACAAATTGTGCAAATTAGGATACAATTCTATTGTAACTGTTGATAGCAAATCTTGAATTTGAATCCCAATTTTTAATTTGGGAATTTAAATAGTTATTGAGAATCATCATTTCAGCTTTTAAAATATCCTTTTTTATTTTTAAGTTATGACTATAATAATACTCAATGAATTCTAATGAACCATCGAAACCAAGTAAAAAAAAATGATCAGTTGATTTTACCAATTTTTGGCTTTCATCAAAAGTTGTAGTTTTTATTCTATTAGTTATATTTGTTATATTATCAATGATTGTGTTATATATCAGCTTTCCAATATTTTTCAATTGTTCAATTTTTCTCACGAGTTCCAATTGTTGAAGTAACTAGAACATTTTTTAAACATTGATTCTTAACTGGTTTCCCTTTTTTTGAGTACTCTTCATTATTCAAATAAATACCAAACTGTTTTGAAAAATTAGTGATATCATCCCACGATAGTTAAAAACTCATTAGACCTTTTGTCTTGTAATGTTGACATTACACCATTAATTGTAGTAGTTGCTTGGCTGTCTTTTTTTTTTGTAAAATTTGACTTAATAAGTCAATGGTTAATAAAATGTCATAAAATACAAATAAATTGTGTTTTTTTAATTGTTTAAAAAAAAAAATAAAAAAATATTGTAGCGTTTTCAACACAAATTAACTTTAAATATTTAACTTAATCTGATGTATTAATGCATTATATTATGTTGATGGTACGTTTAAGAGTTGTCCTAAGCAATTTTGTCAACTTTTCATTATTCAAGTAACTAAAAATGGCGATTATACTCCACTAGTATTTTTTATACTAACAGAAAAAACTTCAGAAATATATAAAAATGCATTTTCCAATTTAATAAATTAAAAGTGAAATGAATTTTTTTATCGTAATTTTTGATCAAAACACTTACCTCTTATAGCACACATCAATTTTTACTGTGATTTATTGAATTTTGATCAATTTGTTGACTTAAAACTGAAAATTTTTAATTATGTAAAAATACCTTTGGTTTTTTCGTTATATATCTATACATTTTTATTCATTTTATGTATATATATGTCTTATACCTATAACTCATTTTAATTTGAACAAATTAATCTATTTTTGGATTGCTTTAAGTAAAATTTTTACCGAGTTTTGAAATCTGACCTTGTTTGATGAATCCGGCTCGCAACTAGGTTCTGTAGCGAAAAAACTACTCATGTGACTTGGCTCCGTCGTGAAAAATCTACGAACGTAACTCGACCTAGTTAATGATTTTCACACGCAATTCAAAAACACAGAAATAAAAATGTTATTTTGAATATACACTAGAAAAATATTCCTGAATTTGTATCCAAACCTAATCTCTAAATTATCAATCCATATATTTAGATCAGCGGTTTCCAACCTTTTTAGCTTTGCAGACCACCAATTTTGTAAAAAAAAACCTTTGAGGCCCACAAATAGCTCATACGAACATCAGTTGTTACTTGTTAGAACTAAAAAAAAATCAAAAAATCAATTGTTTATCATGGAAAACAACTTAATAAACTTAATCACAAGTTAAACAATTTAATGTGATTTTGACATTACTTGTCTTTCATGAGAGAATCAATATCGGAAAGAAAACTGGATAGTTTTAGAATTAAATCACTTTCAACATTCATTTTATTCCTATATTTATATTTAGCGTTAATTATACACTAATTTGATACTACAGAGTGTAGATAATATTGATAAATATTATTGAAACCAGAAATATTATTAAATATATGCTAAAAGTGCCTATATAATAATATTATTTTAAATATTATATATTTATATGGTTCTCAGCCCAGTACCATGCAGCTTGAGGCCCACAAGTGGGCCGTGGCCCATGAGTTAGGAACTGCTGATTTAGATCATTAATTAATATTTTTTCGCGCTCCTATTGGCCGGGCCCCGAAAACCCGTGGAAGAAACGCCGACGGGTCTTAGACTCCAGGGGGAAAAAAGCGAAACGTTTACCATTTGATATATTAAGAAGATGTCTGTGTCATATTATATTATACACAGTTATTGCAATTTTCGTGACGTATACAAAAGTACGAACTCATATTGGTCACACTGCGTAGCAGAACACAACGCTCCGGGAACTAATACGGACTACCGTCCACCAGCAATCATACATTGATTGTTGATCGGTGACCACCATAGATAACATATAACTGCGACGACGCGACCACTGCCTGAACAACAAACATTCTCTACGCGTCACTAAGGACCAAGCTATCAAAGAAGGTAATTTACCTCGGCTATCGTCGACTGCGAACATAGATAATAATTAATTAATTAATATCTATGGGCACAGCAGAATTTTGAGGAAAACGGATTATGATTTGTGCACGGATCTATGGATACCTGTGGATTTATAAGAAGAACTAAAAAGATTGCCGGTAAGGATGCCTGATGCACAATGCAGTTAGCTTATCCATTATTGTTATTATTATTTATTATTTATAATTATTCTTAAAATTTCGTCTACCCGTCCGAATCTGAACGGTTATGGACTTATGGTTCTCCGTTTTGCCGA